AAAATTGAAAACACGTGGGTACCCGTTCATTAGCAACCACGGTTATTTACTTGTGCCTCGATACCGAGAATACACCCAGAGATGCATTCTACGAGCTCCGTCATTACGACTGCCGTCACTAGGCAAACAATTTACCCGGGACAAACAATTCTCTGCACAACACTCGTAGCAGCATGTGACGTCACCCAACCACTTCGAGGCTAGTATATTGCTTGGCAAACAAATTAGCGTTGGCGCCAGATTTACGGATTTCAATTAGACATTTCTTAGTAACCAGCAGTGATATTGGACAAACTAATACGCGTTTGGCTATAAGGTAATGTACTTATTAACTACACAAGGTGCCAGTTACTCTAGCATTCGTTAAAATTGCATAATCGATGGGCCTATTATGCCTTTAAGACGGGTTGAAATTTAGCAGTGCAATTAGAGAGCGCCTCAAATCACGACTGGGTTCTTAGTCTTGTATGAGTAGTCATTAGTTCTTGATCTATTTTACATTTGTTTCACTTTTTATTTAGCAATTGTTTAACTATTGAGGCTTGAACAATAGCCTCTACCGTAAAATCTAATCTAACGTGCGTTCCGCTAAAAATGATGACAAATTAATACACTAAGCTTGACGGAACATGCTATATATCTCACAAAAACAATTACTGACACCGGCCGGCCCACATGCTGCCCACAGCTATGTCGGCACACTTAACAAAGGCAGCAAGACGTGGGTGAACAACCCGACTAAGGAAAGGCCATCCTTAAAAAATTCTATGTTTGCTGTCCCCCGACCCATGATTTTTTTAGTGGGTAGGTAGGTCTTTTTTTTATTGTGAGGCATAATAGTTATTTTAAGTCTGTCCTCATGTTTGCCACACATGCTTTGTGTTTCAGTCTTAACTATAAAAAATGTAAAAAAAAAAGGAACCCAAAATGTAAAAAAAAACTTTTGGGTCGCGGCTCTTTTCGTGGGTCGGTCGGAGGACAGCAAACGTATAATTTTTTAAGGATGGCCAAAGACACACACCTTGCGGCGTATGAGAACCAGATCAGGGCCAACGTCAGAAAGTGATGAAAGAGCATGATAACAGAGTCCTTCCTCCATGCATCCATAAAGAGCGTGCCATACACGGAATGCAGATAGAAACTGCACTGTATCATGTAAAGCCAGAAGATGTCCGATGGTATGTACATGCCCTCGGCCCAACCTGAAACACGGAAAACAAGTCGTTATCCACAATCGACAGCGAAAAATAATGAGGACACGCAAAAAAAATCACGGATGCAGATTTGACCTGGGCCCAAAAGACACACAGCTGACAAGCTCTGGCCAGACTCTCTGAGTTATCTGAAGGATTATTGAGGGATTATGAGCAACCAAACAGTTATTGATGTCCTACAGTAACACTGTACATCTAGGGACTGACAGCAAAACGAACACTTCCCAAAAAACTTGGCAGATGGTCCTTTCACGGTGGCGTGCACAGATCTAATGATTCACGAACATGTTTAAACTAACTAAATGAATTTTTCACAGATAAACAGTAGTGAGAGATAACCAATATAATTTCATGTTTACTATAAGGCCCTAGTGTAAAAGATGCAAAAAAATGTCAAGGCACAAGTTTGCTTGTCACCACTGGAGTCTGGGGAGCAGTCCTGCAAAGGGATTATCCTTTAACATACTTTTGATTCCTTCCTCTTTGATATTTTAATACGGTTTTAATATGGTTTAAAAACAGTAATGATTATTATGTAGATCATAATAAATATTAATTTAATGGAAATTGTACATTCTCGACCCCCCAGCTTTCTTTACCAAATCTCCCAACACCTTTCTGTTCAAGCTCAATTCCACATTTCACAGTCTTGTGGGTTTATTTTCAAATTTTATAAATTGTTATATAATATGTACACAAGAAATGCGTACAGCTGCTTTCATTTATCGCACCCCTTCCCTCGATGGAAACGACCCTTGAAAGGGTAAATTTCTTTTGAAAGGTACGATTTGAAAGGGTAATGGAAACGAGTGATGAACATCACTCATTTCCGGTGAAATTGTAATCACTAGGAAATTCATGAATGCATAGTAAGTGATATCAGGAGTGAATAATAATAAATAATAATAATAAAATAAATAATAGTACAAATCTATTATTATTCACTCCTGGTAATATTAACGACAGATAGGTTCAAAAGAGACAACGTGTCCTCTGCACGCACCGTGCCATCCGGACAATGGGTCGTGGAAGAACGTGTATCGGCCGCAGCAGACGACGATGTACAAGTTGTACGACCAGGTGAACGAGTAGAAGATGAACTTCCAAGCACTCTCCGGAAACTTTCCGCAGTTCTTCTCCTGTACGTTTAGTTTGCGGGCGAGGGGCTGCAAAGATAAGTCGAACGAAATTACGACAAGCATGCAAGAGTGCACACACATCCAGTTATAGATACGTGTCAATTGTTAAATGGGCTTGTCATGCACCACACTGTGCAACTTCCTATTTCTAGATTTCTAGTACAGATAACAACTGATCGTGATCTGCTAAATGTCATACACTTGCTGGTATATTTCTTGGAGAAGAGGTTATATATCAACAGAGCAGTTACATTCCATCGATGTGTGCAGATGGGATTGGCTATATTTAATTTAACCCTAACCCTAGGGTAGCACGAATATTGGAAGCTCCTTTTAAAAAATACCATATTGCCTAGCCTAAACATTGATATCATAATGTGGCACCAGTGCTAACACACCTACGCGCATTTTGTGAAAATAACGATGTACGGGTGTTCTAAGACGTTAGACCTACTTCAGACACTTGCAAGCAAGACCAGAAATATTGTAGTGGTTGGAAAAATATGAGAACGGTCAGGAAGACAGTTTGAAAGTTACTTTAATTGCATGCTAAATATGTTGTGCAGCCATCGCTGTGTTTGGCCTATTTTTCTAGCAACCGCAGAGATACTCGCTTAAAGTGTGCAAGCCATGTCTCTGTGCCAGTAAACGATGACATGTGGTTTCCCCGACATATATATAAGGCCACACATAAATAATTTATTATTTGCCATAACCTGACCTATAATCTATTAGGCAAATTCATGGCAAAACTAGACAGAAGGCACTCACGGAGAGTGCATACCTCCGCGAGCGTGTAACATGTATGTGTATAACAGCTGGCTCACTGCTGGCTGCTGCTGACTGGACGCCCTAAGGCGAGCTGCTGCTGACTGGACGCCCTAAGGCGAGCTGCTGCTGACTGGACGCCCTAAGGCGAGCTGCTGCTGACTCGACGCCCTAAGGCGAGCTGAGCTGCTGCTGAATCGATCGCTACAAACGCACGCACGCACGCACACACACGCACACGCACACGCACGCACGCACACACACACACACACACACACACACACACACACACACACACACACACACACGCGAGACCGATCGCATTACCTCCCCTGCAACTCCGTTGCGCGGAGGTAATAAGAACAAGTGGCATGTAAATTATTCCATTTCTATAACCAGTGTCCACTATTAATTTATCATTTAAACAATGTGCAAAAAATGACTACAAACGTAGGACACCCATACACGACTGTCTTTTCAATGACCTGTCCAGTAGGTCAGGGGGTGAGTCAGTGGGTAGCAATCTACAGTCATGGCATTCCAAGTTCCAGGCTTAATAACAATGTTTAGTGAAGGTAACTGACCCTACAAATACTCTAGCCCACATTTCCTATACAATTTTCTTATGATATCGCACAAGCACCCTTTTCAGGCACAAGCTACCTCTGTACCTATTAAGTAGAATGCGTTCTGTAGCCAATGGTCACACAGCATTTTCAGAGTATGATTGCAAGCATGCTGGAGAACGGTAATATTTTAGCTGTTAATCACACGGCTGCACCTCTTGTGAGTCAATGGCACTGAGGGTGAACGTGCCTCAAGCTAACAACTGGTTTTTGATTGCCCACATCGGCAGGCATCCAGCCAACAGGCGTCTGGTTTTCCTATATTTATCATGCCCATACATAGTGAAGTCCCATGACGAAATGTATGCTCAATGCATTTTATAGAAATAACTGGATTTTGGGTGATGACATTTTAAAGTATAATTTTGAGGATGTGGCCTTGCAAAACCAAGACTACACGAGTAGGGGCTTCAGTAAGTACAGTGTGCAAAGAAAAACGTATATATAATCCATCCTCTTGAGGGCCAATGTGTGGACCAAAGATGAAAGAGCACAATGTAGAGTGCATATATATATATATATATAGAAACCAATGAATAGGGAGGGGGGTCTCATTTCAGAGGTACATCACTTGTCTGCCTTTATGGTTTATACTATTGCTACAGTTCAACTCTGCATCAACGCCAAGTATCATGCACTACACCTAGATAGATAGCCTTTAATGTTTACATTTCTAATCGATAAACTTGAACATGGTTCATACAGGACTGAAAATTTCAAGGACTTTTCAAGGACTTTTTATGGACATTTTATCGGAAATTCAAGGACATTTTATGATTATCAAACATTTTATCGAAATTTATACACAGAATAAAACATACCTGGATTAATTTAATAATAACCCTATTCTTAATCACTGTCACCTGTAAAACTTACCTGGATCCCATTAAATTTAATAAAGGCCGGAGACCCTGGAAAAACCCTGTAGAAGGGACGCGCCTAGAAACCTACAGACCCTAGACCCGTCCGACGCAACGCTCTCTATTATTCCTAACACTAACTAACAATGCCGGGACTCGCAGGAGCGACAGCGCTCACTGCTAACGTCTTACGTGGCGGTGAGGATGTATCAGGAACCTTCTCAAAGGAATGTTCGTTGGGATCGCTATGAGAAGTTGCCACGAGATGGCGCGTACGTTTAAGTGTCTTAGAGATTAAAGATGGAAGCTCCCGTCGGTACGTAGTAGCAACAACTATTTGCAAGACAGAATAGGTAAGCACTCATCCATTTACCTAAGGCAAGCCTACAGGCTGAAATAGAGAGCTGCCACCTGTAACTAATTAACGCAAGCAAAAACTACACAGTACTATAACCACCACATGCCTGCGAGTGGCCACTGGCAGTGGCATCGTTACATGTAAACACACTGACAGTACAGAATGCCATAGAAATTATACAATTTAAGGAGCATAAACCTTCTTCAACCAAATATTAGCTTTTTGAAATTTCACTATTAGACATTGTAGCCTCATACATCCAGGCATGTATAGATTCTCTAGGCAAACCCGCCAGTATCAAATTCTTTCTAACAGTAAACAAATCCATGTTTAACCCTCCTCTTGAGGGTCAAAAGGTTATCCGACACTTACTCTTCGCATGTCGAGCAGAAAGCTACATTTCATGGTCCTTTCAATAAAGCCATAAAGATGCTAGGTCACCGCTAGAAACAAAAAAGTTTTTCAATCGCTCCGTCAGACCATGTGCGTCAGAAAATGTCTAAAATCTGCCCTGTGCCCCATTGACCTTTGACCTGTGACTCTAATTTCGGCACAGTGATGGCTTTTCCTACCATGATGCTATACACGACTATCACGAGCCTAGTCGAGCCGTTTAAATTTTGTGCGCATTCTGCATTTCCTCCCTATACCTCAAGTTAAAGGGGAATGTTCCCCCTTCTTTTACACCTCTTGACCTTTGACCTTTGACCCCAGCTTCGACATCCCAACTCGTTTGACGATCCCCCCGATGTGCCGAATATTCGTGACCGTACGTCAAGCGCGTTAAGATTTGTGCCCAACTGTTGACGCACGGCCGGACGCACGGCAGACGCACGCTAATTGCGATTCTACAAGCTGCATCTGACTACGTCAGATGAGCTAAAAACCAACTCGGCTATAAGCATAAGCATGTCATAAGAATAGTCCATAAATAATTGTTACGACTGGTCATAAGAATAGCCACGGCGTTTAATAAACCCTTCTAAACACTTGTCACTTCAAGTTCTACAACATACCTACTGACTGATTTTACTGACTTACTGTAATTTGTGAACATCATTTAATTGTCTATCGTGTCTATAGCTTTCAATTAACACAATTTTTATTGAGGTTTGCACATTATTGATGGTACAAAATTTCTTTTTATTACAGGCAAGGATTCTTTTTTAAGAGAAGCAGTTTTAATTGAGCAACCATCGACGTACATTATAGAAACGAAGAGTATATATGGGAGAACTCCCATTATATATACTCTTGATAATTATAATATGTGTAATTTTTTATGTGAAAATAATAAATAATATTATATATATAAATTATAAATAATTTATAAACCAAAATGAATCACAATTGTGACGGTAGATGGGTGCTATACCCGCTTTGATGTTTCTTAGCATAATCATTATATATCATAATTAAATAATAATATAATAATAATAGTACAAATCATAATATGTTCATAGCAGAAATTTTGCATTAAACGATATTGTCAATTGAAATCTTGTAAAACGAACCAGCACGAGTTGTGACACCACAGATTCTGTTGTTATCTGCGGTGTCTATATAATATGCTATATAATTGCAAACCCTACCTAATTTGCATAATTTTTTTTTTAATATCAAAACCACTAGCCCTTATTCAGTTCACATACCAAAACATGAGCAAAATCCGTTGAACCTGAACTGATTAATTGGCAATTCCATTTTTGCCAAAAAATTTCCGTGGCTCGAAAGTACGTCGACTGGGCGTGGCTCCAAAATAGGACGTTTAATATGGGGACATAGCAGTAACAACTATACCCAATTTCAAAACATGTGGGTCTTGAAAAACGGTTCCTGAGTTATCGTTGACCGTGAGCCAAATGTTCGACCGGACGAACGGACGGAACGACGTACGACGGACGACGACCCATGCAAATAGCTCGTCAGCTTGACGATGCAAGGTGAGCCTAAAAATCATGGGTCGGGGACAGCAATAGGGGTGTAACGTATACCGGTATATCGGATATTGGGCAATATCATTTTGAAAACTCGATATATACTGCGGAGATTACAACTTCCCGATATCGATATTTTACGATACGGTGGTATAACAAAGAAATAAAATTAATTGAATCGCCTTATGTCTATATCTGTTAATGGGCTGAAAATTATGAGCTGGCGTGTATACATTACACAAGCACAATGCGCCTGCAGCGACGCACTACAGTATTACGGCCCACCACTACCATGGAGCACTGCGCGGCAGAAGTGGGGCAGGGCCGTGTGCGCACAGGCGAGAGCACGGCACACTCAGGGAGATCTATAAATAAGTCCTATGCCTCACCGAGTGCCGCGCCGCCGCCGCGACTACCTGAAGCGGGCACACTGTTTCTAGTTTCAGTTTTAGTTTCAGTATGCCAGTATGAGCCCAAT